AAGTTGAATACAGAGTCATGAGAAAAAAGGAATGAGAACTATTATCCAACCTTTTTTTAAAAGAGCCATTCAACCTAGCATCAGTTAAGGTGTAGCCTTAATCCCTCCTCAGACAGGAGCATAGCAGTTTTACAAGGCAATCCCACTTCTCCATTCGTGAGGTCACTTAGCTTCTATATGCTCAAGAGGAATGGCTTTAAAGATGGCAAGTCCCTGGGGGAGAAAGCTTAGTTTATGTATTGGCAGAGGGATGGGTACTGTAGCCTGGGGGAGGCTCAGGAGAGTCAGCACACACAGAAGACAGAGAAAGCCATTTTGGTGGTATTCTGTATGCTGCCCACATCCTTTCTCACCCCATGCTGTCCAACGAAAAATGTCATCATAAGGAAAACCCCAGTAGAGCCTTCCTACACAGGTCTGAAAAATGAGTGGAAAGACACAATATAAGGAGGTGATTTTCTGGCTTCTGTGAAGTTTCTCCTTCAACCTCCCCCACTTCCCAACTTTAAAATTTAACTCCTTTGACAATCAGGGGAGGCAGGTCTAGAAAAAAAGATGTTCTTGGGAGCAAAGTATGGTGATGCTTCATTTGGGTAGTACCTGGTTGAGTCTACACTCCTTGGTAATTCAAACACAAATTTATGTATTTCTGCAAAGGTGTTTTGTGACTATGATTGAAATCCATAACCAATGATTTTAATTAAGGGAGATGATTCTAGATCATCTGGATGGGAAGACTCAATCAATTGAAGCCCCTGAAGTATAAAATCTTCCTTGGTGGAGAAAACATTTCATAGCTCCCCCCTTTGCCTGTGAACTGAGACCTGTCCTTGACAGCTGGCACTGCAATTTCAGGTTTGCCTCGTTAGCTTTGTAACCATAAACCTGTGCTACTGGTTCTGTTTCTTAGGTTGAGCACTAACAGAAGTGCAGAGAAGCTTTTAGAAATACAAACTCCCTACAGAATAGGATGAAAAAATATTTAAGAAATTAAAATATATTTTAAAAATAGGCATAAAGAATTATATAATTCTTATGTTTACATGTAAGTCCAGAAATCTAACCACATACAACCTTGTAGCAGGACAGTCCCACAACATTTCTTTTCCTGTCTCCTGCCTTCATTCATAGAAAAATATAAAAACGAAGTATAAGAAGTAAAGCCATGCTGTTATGTTGAGCGGTAGGGGACTCAGGTCAACAATTTCTGACACTGCCAGTGAAGCAGAAGACCCAATACTATTATGGACTACTGGACTCTTTTAGAATATTTTGCTCAGTTAACACATCTATAATATTCAAATGACAGAACTAAACAAAAAAGGGGATACAGATGAATGTCCATTTTGTATCTGTGTATTCAAAGTCGTTAGGATGGATATATAGTTACATTCTTTTAATGAATAGAGGGATTTGTTCTAATAGTGTTTGTAAATAGGATTATCATGTCTGCATCTTGTACAGCAATTAACCACTAGGAAGAGAGTATGCAATGTGTTAATTATTGGAACTGTCCTACCAATTTGATTTGAAATTGTCTCATTGCTATTTGTCTCTCAATAAAATTATGGAAAAAAATAAATAAAAATAAAATAAGTGCATAGAAAAAAAAAAAAGAAATACAAACTGCCTTGTGGGAATAAGATGATTGGCACATGAAGTGTTGGCATACCCCGCTGACAACACCTCTCTATTCTTCCGTCCTGAAATAGGACAGAGATCCTCATGGCACCAAAGAGAGGGAATCTTGAGACCTAATTCATGAATCCAGTAAATGTAAAGGCAAGTCTTTACCCCCATAATCTCTTACTACTCATAGGTGGCGTACAGCCTCCCCTTCTCCTACTTTTATTGAGGGTTATTGGGCTGTAAAGATGCCCCGTCTCTAAAGATAAGAATGTCTACTAGTATATATCCAATACAGGAAGGGGATTTCAAACACAAGGAAAATGTCTAAAAATTTCAAACTTATGACCCAGTAGAAAATTACCAGGACATAGCTCTCCCCAGTGGTGCCTTTAAAAAGCTACTTCTGTTCTTTTGTTCACTGGTCACACTGATTTAAATCACAATTGGGTTCCATTAAGCTCTTTTTCTATTCAAGCTGAAGTCTTTTCTCATTTGTTTGTCTTTTTAAATTAAAACCTGTGTTTCTAATTTCATGCTATTACCGCAGTTTTAATTTCTCTTATCTCAGAAGCAAGTTCCCATGCATGTCCTTCCCCAGATTGGACAGAAATACCCATAGATGGTGATGTCTCGGGTTGGTGGCAATAGGAGCTCAGTGGACAAGCCACTTGATAATCATACCTGATGTAAAAGATACAAAGGAGGAAATGATAAAGATCAGAGCAGAATTGATGTCAATGCTGAGCTGGCAGATTGGGGCTGAGGCCAAAATACCTGCAGGATTGCTGTGTGATGGTGTGCTTTACTCATTCCATGAAGGAGCTGTTGCCTCCTGACTTAAAGCCCCCATCCCAAGGGCCAGGGTCCATCTCCTGAAGTTAGGCGTCTGGACAGTAGTGTTTTGTCTTAGAATAAAGAGTCACCCACCTCTTCCCTCTTTAACAAGTCTTACCCTGGTAAAAACTTCTCTAGGAGGGCTTCTCTATGGGATGTTTTCATTTAATTTTCTTTGTCTGCCCACAAGAATATTCACAGAATGCCCAAGGAAATATTGTTATGTCCTTTGCCTTGATTGGAGATACAGACATGGCAAGGGGCAATGAATTATGTTGGAAGATCTTATGTCTGACCTGCTAGGATTCTGAGTATTGTGTACTCATGGGTATATTTGCAGTGTACATAGATGGTTCTGCTAGACTAAGTGTCAATGGAATAGCTCAAGGAGAAGAAAAGCTCAGCCTGAATAATGCAACAGATACAGTTTATTGGGACACCACATTTAGAAAGCAATCACCCCACCATTGTAGATCCTCATCTTCTAGAGCTGCAATTCCAGGGATTGGGAGTAGCCAGGCATCAGATTCATGAATTTCTGGAGATCTTCCCAGGATAGCCACTAGGTATTCTTGCCCTTTCTGTGTTTCTCGTGGCTGTCAGAGTCGTTCTCCTACAAGACAGATTTGACCATGACATTACCTCTGCTGAGAAACCTCTAGTTGTTCAGCACTCAGACTCATTGCTCTGCAAGTTCTGACTTTTGAAAATGACCCCCTAGACACTGCAGCATGTACAGGTTACTATCCATTTCTCTTTTCCCAAGAAGGGTTCATGTTTTTTCCCACTATCTGAACTGCCATATGCTTTGTTTAGTAGATTTTCTGCCTCCTATGAACTGCCCCTAGATGTCTTCCACTCTGGGACAACTTCTCCACCACCTCTAGCCAAAGCAGTGACCCCTCTAATTGCTTCCACAGGATTTAGTAGAAATATGTACAAACCACAGAATTGTACTACACATCTCTTTCCTCAGCTTGATGTTTGCCTTCAAATCTCAATTCTTGTATGTGTTTGCAGGACATGAAATAACTCAAATAAATTGAGATTCTCATCTTTTCCCAGTCTTCCTACTAATATTATAGGCAGATAAATTAGATAGAAATATTATAGGCAGTCAGACAGGGCTATGCCCTCAAGGAGAGAGCACAGAAGACAAGATACTTTGCAACTGTGAAAGATGGATGCTCCTGCTGTGGGCCAAAGCTAAAGACCAAAGATTGAACAAATGCTGACCTCCCTAAAGATATGCATCCAGGATTGATAATCGCCTTGAGGAAGCCCAAGAAGAGTCAATAATCCAACTACTGATTACTGGATAAACTCCTGTTCTATATTCATGCCCATTTGCTATGTGATTTACTTCCTCATTTGGTCCTGGATTTAATCAATTTTACCTTAGCAGTGGTGCTTGTAAGCTCATTGGTTGATCATAGTTTTGTCATACCTCATTTCCACCTAAGTGAGTTCCTGTGTTCTCCACCTTTGACCTGCCTTACTGCATGGTTTTACATTGTAAAAGTCCCTCAAAGAGACAGCTTCCTGAGGACAATCTGCTCAGGCCCCCCTTCTATTGTGCTCTTGGACAGAAGCTTTCTTTCCCCAATAAATAAATTCTGCTCTTAACCTCCATTTTTCCTAAAATTTATTCTTCAATTTTAAAGAACACAAATTCATCCCAGGTATCTTTCAGGTCTGGAGTTTCATTCCCCCATATTGCTGAGATCACCTATTTGCTTGGAAGTATTAAGTATCTTTTTTAAAGAAGGAGAATGTGGTCAATCACAATCTTGCAAACGTAAGGCAGATTGTGCTACTTGCTTCTTTTGAGCTCCTTGGTGCTTGCTTTCTTTTATTTTTTTAAAAATACAAAGTAGTAATAAAAAGTAACATTAGAAATGATACAAAATTTCATTAAGCAAAGTAATAGGAATTCAACAATGGTTGTTGTATTGCATGATGTTATCTTCAAATAAGTTGTTTAGGCTATCATATATAAACATACAAAATTTGTTTAAAACAAAACAAAACAACAACAAAAAGCTAGAAGAAATTAAAAAGAAAGAAATAAAAATAAAAACAATTTTAAGCAGTAACTTCTTTTCAAAAAAAAAAAAACTAGTAGAATTCGGCAATACAATTATCTAAATTATCGTGCATATATACATGAATATATCTTTTCCCCTTCTTTCTATTATTGTTTTCATCATCCCAGTTTTTCCTTCCTGTTGAACAAATTCTTTCCATTTCACAGTGTCTATTGTACCTTTCAGATTATGTTTACTCTTTCAGGTTCTCAGTCTAGTGACAGAATACGATGCTTGCACATGCGGGTCTGCATTTGGTGCTTTCTTAGCAGGGAAAGGTTTTAGATAATATAACTAGTTTTCCTGATGCTATTTGGTCCTAGCTTCTTTTCCTTGAAATTATCTAGTCTTCTATCTGCATTGGCAAGGCATTGCCAATCAGCCCTGGCAAAGTACACTGGGAAGTTGTCAGCTTTTTTCTTGAACAACCCTCAACAGGTTTATATTCACTTAGAAAACAGGAACTATGCAGGCATGGCCACATCCATTGTTGCAGCACTTCATGTTATTGGGGCATGACTCATCTCCTGAGCAATGATCATCACATCTTCCGTAGGATCCTGCAGATACCTCAGGGCAAGCACCAGGTTTATTTTGCTGCTGAAATACACAATTGGATTTTTTTTTAAAACCAAGACAGGAATGAGAGTGAATGCTGAATGCCTAAAGCCCTTATCACTGCCTTAACTCCAGTTTCTGTTTCCTCCTTTGTGACCCTGGACTCATTCATATCATGCTCTCCATTGTCAGTAACCCCAATCCCTAACTAGCCCTTGGGAGAATGTTCTCCCTGCAGTCCTCTAAAGCCCACCCAGTCTCTGTAGGAAAGAAACCTGCATTGTCACCTACACAATTTTGCACTTCAGGAAAAAAACAAAACAAAACAAGATCTCTGATCTTGTTTCTCATTTCACACAGTAGTTTTTTGTTTTCTTCTTCTTTTTTTTCCTCCATAATTTTATTGAGAAACAAATAGCAATGAGACAGTTTCAAACCAAACTGGTAGGACAGTTTCAATAATTAACACATTGCATACATTCTTCCTAGTGGTTAATTACTGTACAAGATGTGGACATGATATCCTATTTACAAACACTATTAGAACAAATCCTTCTATTCATTAAGAGAATGTAACTATATATCTACCCTAATGATTTTGAATACACAGATTCAAAATAGACATTCATCTGTATACCCTTTTTTTGTTTAGTTCTGTTATTTGAATATTATAGGTGTGTTAACTCAGCAAAATATTCTAAAAGAGTCCAGTAGTCCATAATAGTATTGGGTCTTCCGCTTGACTGGCAATGTCAGAAATTGTTGACCTGAGTCCCCTAGAGCTGAACATAACAGCACGACTTTACTTCTTATACTTTGTTTTTATACTTTTCTGCTGGATGGTTAAGACCAAGGTAAAGCAAGACCTATGCAACAAGAGTTGTAGCTTTTGGATCTGATAAGGTCAGTGAAATCCCCTCAGGATTTATCCTGAGATCCTGTACCTCAGATTGTAGATCCTTTGTTAGTGTCAGTCATGTGAATGAGTCAAGGCCATTGCTTGGCCAATGTGAGAAACTTTCTTTCCCCAATAAATAAATTCTGCTCTTAACCTCCATTTATTCCTAAAATTTATTCTTCAGTTTTAGAGAACACAAATTCATCCTAGGTATCTTTCAGGTCTGGAGTTTTATTCCCCTGTATTACTGAGATCACCTATTTGCTTGGAAGTGTTAAGCCCCTTTTTTAAAGAAGGAGAATGTGAAATCCTGGTCAATCACAGCCTTGCATATGTAAGGCAAATTGTGCTACTTGCTTCTTTTGAGCCCTTTAGTGCTTGCTTTCTTTTATTTTTTAAAAATACAAAGTACTAATAAAAATAGCATTAGAAATGATACAAAATTTCATTAAGCAAAGTAATAGGAATTGAACAATACTTGCTGTATTGCATGATGTTATCTTCAAATTAGTTTAGACTATCATATATAAACATACAAAATTTGTTTAAAACAAAACAAAACAGCAACAAAAAGCTAGAAGAAATCAAGAAGAAAAAATAATAAGAATAAAAACAATTTTAAGCAGTAACTTCTTTTCAAAAAAAAACCTAGTAGAATTCGTCAATACAATTATCTAAATTATCGTGCATATATACATAAATATATCTTTTCCCCTTCTTTCTATTATTGTTTCCGTCATCCCAGGTTTTCCTTCCTGTCGAACAAATTCTTTCCATTTCACAGTGTCTATTATACCTTTCAGATTATGTTTACTCTTTCAGGTTCTCAGTCTAGTGACAGAATATAATGTTTGCAAATGCGAGTCTGCATTTGGTGCTTTTTTAGCAGGGGAAGGTTTTAGATAATATAAGTAGCTTTCCTGCTGCTATTTGGTCCTAGCTCCTTTTCCTTGAAATTATCTAGTCTTCTATCTGCATTGGCAAGGCATTGCCAATCAGCCCTGGCAAAGTACATTGGGAAGTTGTCAGCTTTTTTCTTGAACAACCCTCGAAGGGTTTATACTCACTTTGAAAACAGGAGGTGTGCAGGAATGGCCACATCCATTGCTGCAGCACTTCAAGTTATTGGGACATGACCCATCTCCTGAGCAAAGTTCAGCGCAAATTCCATAGGATCCTGTAGGCCACTCAGGGCAAGAACCAGGTTTTTTTCCTGCTGAAATATACAATTGGATTTTTTTTAAACCAAGACAGGGATGAGAGTGAATTCTGAATGCCTGAAGCCCTCATCACTGCTTTAACTCCAGTTTTTGTTTCCTCCTTTGTGACCCTGGACTCCTCATTCCTTTCATGCTCTCCATTGTCAGTAACCCCAATCCCTAACTAGCCCTTGGGAGAATGTTCCCCCTGCAGTCCTCTGAAGCCCACAGTCTCTGTAGGAAAGAAAACTGCATTGTCACCCACACAATTTTGCACCTCAGAAAAAAAAAAAACATAACAATATCTCTGATCGCAGACAAACAGACCCTTAGTCAAAGTCTAAAATATAATTTTGTTTAGTCTTGGGTGACTGGCCCAGGAATTCTGATTACATCCTGATTGCATCCCCTTACTAGGGAAGTAACCCTGCCCTCTACTCCCAAACTCTGTCAGATGTACCTCACTCTGTTAAGAAGGATTGAATATGCAGGGTTTCACCCTCATAGTCAAAGGAAGTGGGTCTGATTTAAGCCGCAGGTACATGCCCAAGGTCTTCTCCCTCTGTCTGCAAGGCCAGCATTGGGCTCTGAGCCTTCTGTGCTCTCTGGGGTAACCTCAATATACTCACACATCTGAAGTCTCCGAGCACCAGCCATGTCCATTGCTATGGCAATGAAAGCCACCAGAACCAAGACTGTGCTTGTCTTCATTTTGGCCTCTGTCATGCTGTGCACCCAGAACAATTTATATGCTTAATGTTTCCAGAAGGGAGGGTGGAGCAGGAAGCATATGAAAAGAAGCTTCACAGGGAACACCCTCAGATTCTTTTATTTCCCAAGTGCTTTGTTTCGCATTTCACACAGTAGTTTTTTTCTTGGCAGATGCAAATGCCAAAATGAGATATTCAATAACACCTTTCTGTGGTGTTTAACCTCTGCTCCAAAATGAACAGAAACCTTACTGGGTAAAATCTTTAAAATCTTGCCCAGCATTTAGTAGTCATTAGGTAATGCATCAACACTGCCCAAAACAACATGAGATTAAAAATAAACCTTCCTCTCAATGGGAAAAGGTCTGGTGTGAAGCCAAAGTAATGAGCTTGTGGGCTTTCTCCCTTTTCAGTAAGTCTGAAAAAAATAAAATCTAGGTAGAAAAGAGACAAGGAAGTTATGATATTGACTTTGTACTATTACAAGGAACTGCAGATTCAAGATAAGCCTTTTTCCCTACAGAAAACTCACTCAGCATAAATCCCTAAATATTCTTTTACAGTAAGACTGTGAGGGCTGGAGATATAGCTCAGCAGCACAAGTGTCTTCACTCCAAGTGCAAGGTCCTGAGCTTGATTCCTGGTAAAAAAAAAAAAAAAAAAAAAAAAAGATAGAATAAGCCTGTAAGCCAGGGCTCTTCACCTGTCCTTTTCACCTGTGAATTGCACTTTCTTCATCCTCACAAAGCAGCAGACTTTAACTTCATACACGTACAGATGCCTTGCACTGTAATCTGACTGTGAGAATATACAGCCTAGGTCACTATCTTCACTCTGGCTTATGATGCATCTCTCTTCACCCCATTCATTGAGTCGTAATCAACCCTTCTCGCACTTTTCCTTTTTTCACAGATGGGTCCTGAAAATTCTTTGTCTGCAATGGGAATCAGCAAACCTGAAAAGTTACTTTGAAAGGGTGGGATAGGTTCCTTATTTCAGGCTTTGAGACCTCTCAGACCCAGCCCAGTGACACTGTGTCATGGCACTTCAGTTACAGTGTAGGTGTTCCTAGAACACTAGCCAGGAACAGGATGCCTGGGAAAATGCATTTCTGAGTAATCCTGTCGACTGGAAGTGGTGGTCCCTATGGTGTGGCAATGTAGCATCTTTACTCTTCTTTCTGTCTTATTCTGGTAGTGATCTAGGGGAAAAAGCTCCCAAGATGAAGGATACCTGAGTGGCGTTCATGTTCTCTAAAACTGAAGAATGAAATTTAGGAACAACAGAGTTTAAGAACAGAATATATTTATCGGGGGAAAGAAAATTTCCATCTGAGAAAGAGATAGAAAGGGACCCAAGTGGGTTGCCAAGGAATGTGCCTTTTTTTTTTTTTTTTTTTTTTTTTTTTTTTTGCGGAGCCGGGGATTGAACTCAGGCCCTTGAGCTTGCCAGGCAAGTGATTATTCAACTGAGCTATCTCCCCAGCCTGAATGTGCCTTTTTAAGGGATTTTTATGGAACAAAACCATGAGGTGAGGAAGGTTCAAGGTGGGAAACATGGGAACTCACAAGATGGGCTTGAGGTGGACAAAATTATGGTCCACCAATAAGAGAACAAGTATAATTTCTCAGGTAAAATTGGTTACATTGGGATCACATGAGGAAGTGTGTCATGAGGCAAGTGGGTATGAATACAGACCAGGGGCTCTTCCTGTAGGGGGATGGGTTAGTGACGCTTCCTGGATTTTTCAAGGTGATTGCTATGTATTTAAAATATCAATCCCTGGTATCTATCCTGAGAGAGGTATGTGTCTGCATTTGTTTATTCTTTTGTCTGGAGGGGACTGGCCCCAGCTGAGGTGCCTGTCTCTCCCACAGTTACAAGGTATCTTGTCTTTCATATTGGGTCTTTTGAGGGCCTACCCCTGTCTGACTGCTGATAATATTTCTATCTAATTCAGCTGCCTACAACAAAAGGAAATGAAACTAATAGAACTCAGTCCTTGCTAGCAGGTACTGTGCTTGATGGCATGGGTGAACTCAGGGTACCAGGCAGATGGAGAAGAGCTACTCTTCTCTGTAGTAATGGAACCATGGCAATAATATCTCCTTCCCCTCTATAAATATGGGCTGGACTCCCAAGAGTCATTATAGTCTTACCATTGTTGCTAACTATGCTGACTACCTGGAAAAATGTTTTGTTCAGTCTTCTTGCTCTGTCACCCAGGCTTATAACAATCTGCTGATTTTGCATTATTGCTGAGGTATTTGCTTATGATGTGAATCCTCTTGTGTTACCCAAGGGACCTCAGGGCAGATGGGTAATGGCGCAATTCCTTTCTTGGAGACATGCCACAGTCTCACTTGATAGCATAATTAGACCTGAAGAAAAATTTGTCTTTTCTCATTCTCCTTTTGGTAAATTCTCTTACTACAATGTCACCTGCCTTCCATAAGCTGCCTCCACAAGCTGCT